CCCCCCCCCCCCCGCGCTTGGCTAACTGCAGGGAAGGATTTCTTTTCAGCCACAGGCAAACAGCCCAGTAGGAACGGCCACCTCTGTCCCCTTAATTAAATTCCCGTATTTCAACCAGGTTACCATGAACGATATCACTCTCCTGAGGATAACACAGCGAGATAAAGAACGGATGTTGCTTGAATGCCAGCAAACACCGGGACCATATGCTGCCAGGCTTTGTCATGCAATGATACCAGATTACTTGCTACTAGCATGGCGTGGTCAAGTGTCCTACCATGGAGGACGGAATAAGGCTGCACTGCCAAGAAACCTTGTGGAAAGGCTTTTGGAGTACCTCCAGGAGAGCTTCATGGAGATGTCCCTGGAGGATTTCCGCTCCATCCCCAGACACGTTAACAAACTTTTCCAGTAGCTGTACTGGCCGCGAATGCATCCCAAGTCCTCAGGGCAAATTAATCATTAAAATCGCTTGCTTTTAAACCAGGTTTTATATTTACAAAGGTACACTCACCGGAGGTCCCTTCCATGGCCTCATTGTCTGGGGGTTGGGAGGGTGCTTCAGTCAGGCTGAGAAAAAGATCCTGGCTGTTGGGGAGAACGGAGTGCTGTGTGCTCTCCGCAAGCTCGTCGTCATCCTCCTCCTCCTCTTCCCCATCCGCAGAATCCTCAGGCATGGCTGAGATTACCCCCGCCTCGGAATCCATGGTCAGAGGTGGGGTAGTGGTGGCGGCCCCCCTAGAATTGCATGCAGCTCAGCGTAGAAGCGGCATGTCTGCGGCTCTGACCCGGAGCGACCGTTTGCCTCCTTTGTTTTTTGATAGTCTTGTCTGAGCTCCTTAACTTTCATGCGGCACTGTAGTGAGTCCCTATTGTGGCCTCTCTCCATCATGCCCTTGGAGATTTTTTCAAATGTTTTGGCATTTCGTCTTTTGGAACGTAGTTCTGCTAGCACTGAATCCTCTCCCCATATAGCGATCAGATCCAGTACCTCCCGTATGGTCCATGCTGGTGCTCTTTTTCGATTCTCGGACTGCATGGTTACCTGTGCTGATGAGCTCTGCATGGTCACCTGTGCTCTACACGCTGGGCAAACAGGAAATGTAATTCAAAAGTTCGCGGGGCTTTTCCTGTCTACCTGGCCAGTGCATCCAAGTTCAGATTGCTGTCCAGAGAGGTCACAATGGTGCACTGTGGGATAGCTCCCGGAGGCCAATACCGTCGAATTGCGGCCACACTAACCCTAATCCGAAATGGCAATACCGATTTCAGCACTACTCCCCTCATCGGGGAGGAGTACAGATATCGATATTAAGAGCTCTTTATATCGAAGTAAAGGGCTTCGTTGTGTGGACGGGTGCAGGGTTAATTCGGTTTAACGCTGCTAATTCAAGATAAATTCCTAGTGTAGACCAGGCCTAAGCCTAGATGCCTCACTTTGGGTACCCAAACTTGTCAATTTCAACTATAAGTTTTAAATATATGTAACACTTTGGAAAACAGTACGAGGTATTTAGAAAATGGAGTCAGATGTCTCATGCAAATGTTGGAAGCTTTTAAAGATGCTAACTACAGGGTTCCACAATAGGTGTGAAGATTAAATCAGTTACATGGATCAGACTTTCATCCTTCCTGGGACTGTCTGTATGAGCCCTTGCATAAGTCAGGAAGCATCAACATGTACGTTTCACTGGGCCTGATTCACCATTGCATTGCTCCAGTTTTGTGCTGGGGTAACTCATTGATTTCAGAGGAGTTACATGCTGTTTCAAAACTGGCATCCTGCAGCAGTGAGTCAGGCCTTCTGTAAGCAGCGTTGCTACCACATAGCAAAAGACTTGTAATGTTATCCGAAGAGGATCTTCTAACATCACTCTATGCAATTTTACTTTCTAAGGTTGTGTTATTTGCATGGATGCTTAATAGAATTAATCCTAGGAACTGTGAAAAGGGGAGAAGAATATGCAAGATTAGCATTTCCATTTCATCCTTAATCTAATCTGCAACCTAAAGAGGGTAACACGTGGCACTGCTAAGCATCAGCTTTGGCACTAGCCATGACAAGTGTTTGCAGTCGAAGATGCTAATACAACACTTACCTTCAATGGTCAAATTCACTGAGGTTTCCTGCCAGCTTATATCATTGCTGGCATTGCAGGAAAAGGATCCACAATCTGATTTCTGCGCTTCTGGTATGTACAGAAGACTGAAGTTTTCAGAGACCTGGTAACATCTGTTCCTGGGTAGGGGCTTCCCATCTTTCTTCCAGTCAATAGCTTGCACTTTGCCAACCAGCACCTTGCAGGATAATTCAATGGATGAACCAGCCACAGTAGAATTTATCTGTATCTGAGCTATCTGTATCTGAGTTTTGGACATAGGCTCTGGGGGGGGGGGGAAAGTGAGATTATATAAACATTTAAAAGTCCTGGTTGAAATGTACAAACTCGGGTATCTAAAGTTAGGCATCTAAATCAAACAATTAAATCTGCTTATCTATATGATAGACGATGATTTCACAAGTTTTAGGAAAACATCTAACATCCAGTGATGTAGGCTTGATTAATAGCTCAGTAGACATCAAAAGTCAAACTCTATCAGCTCACGTCTAAACTTTCATAGCCTAGGTAATCCTCAGTACAAGAGTTCTGAGATACTGAGTCTTGAGGGAGGTTTTTTTTAAAACCATTGTCTTTCAACCTTATTAATTTGTGTTTGTCTCCTTACTCCTTTGCTCTAACCCACTTAGAAATTTCTTGTTCTCAAATGATATGGTCCTGATAGAATCATAAAGAACCTAGTCTGTCAATTCTTAGGGTCCTGTGTAGGGATATTCCCTGCAATATATTTCAGTACGTTCTCCAGTCTAGTTATATAGTTTACCAGAGATGGAGTCTCCACCACTTTTGGAAGACTATTTCTTAGGGTACGTCTGTACTTACCTCTGGGTTTGGCGGTAAGCAATCGATCTTCTGGGATCGATTTATCGCGTCTTGTCTAGACGCGATAAATCGATCCCGGAAGTGCTCACCGTCGACACCGGTACTCCTGCTCCGCGAGAGGAGTACGCGGAGTCGACGGGGGAGCCTGCCTGCTGCATGTGGACCCGTGGTAAGTACCTTGTAGTTCGAACTAAGATACTTCGACTTCAGCTACGTTATTCGACTTCAGCTACGTATCTTAGTTTGAACTGGGGGGTTAGTGTGGACCAGCCCTCAGTGTCATATACAAGGTTAAAGGACGTTATGACTATATGCTCCAGAACCTTAATGTACAACTCAGTGAAATCAAAATTGGGATTTCTTGCTTGGGTCAAAATGTACACGTGTAGTGTGGCTAGAACCAGAGTCTCTCTGTTCTTCAGCCACACCATCTTGGATTCTGCTTTCATAAGTTAGTCAGGGTCAAGTTAGGATGACTTTGATGCGAGACCTCCAAGAAAATAATGGTAGTGATATGAGAGTTGGCATTTTCCCTGCAAAGTCAGAATTGACTAAAACTTTTTCCCTCTGATATCCAGCTTATTTTTCATTTTTTAGAAGTGTCATCCCCTTGTCAAGCATAACGGATCTTTGTCCAATCTTACAGGGGTAAATGTTTTATAAATGACTGCAAGGCTGTTTTATGTGGTGAACAGGTTGTGCAGCTGCTTCCTTGAAACATGCACCCGCAGAGCCTCTGTTCACATTAGTGTGATCTATTCAGTAAAAATGTTTCTGTGCTGCCAGCTGTTTTATAAATACTTCTGCTCTTTCACTTACCTAAGACTAGCAGTGTAGTTTGCCTGGCTTCAATTTTGTTCAAATTGACGGTAGCTCTGTAGGTCCCGCTGTCTGTCTCTTGTACGTTTTTCAACAAGAGGGAGCCGTTGGATGAATAGAAAATGACTCTGTCTTTATAGGAATTAGAGATAATAGGTTCTGTTCCAGTTCCATAGTAATCCACAATACCGTGAGTTGGGGCACTACTTATGTATTCCCACTGTATATGTTTTATGACTGTTTGGTCATTGATGGGCAATGCAGTCAACAGCACTGAAGAGCCCGTACCAACGGTTCTATGTTCTTGGGCTTCTGCTGTTTTTGGAGCCCAGTGGAAAACCAGTAGCCGCACTAGAGAGAAAGGGAAGACAGGAAGAGCCAGGCTAATTAGTCTTATGCCGTATTTATCCCAGGTCTATGAAACAATGTTCATTTGGGGATCTAGGACAGGGGAATGGTAATGGGGACCTGTTCCTCAGGGACGTTAATGTGAATCCGGACCAGAAAGGCTGTGATGAAACATTAACCTTTCTGATGGTGGTTAGGTGGCATATGTTTAAGCAGTTGGTGCTCTCTGTCCATTTCCTACTGGACAGGTGGCTGGATCACAATTAGGCCTCATCTATGTTGGTGGTGTGTAGGGTATGTGTAGCTACACGCCACAGTGAAAAGCAGGCTGCATTCACGCTGCGGTGTATAGCTACATGTGCCCGTGAAAGGCTCTGGCTGAGAGGAGGCACCAGGGAAAGGTTCTGGCAGCTCACTGCAGTGGGTGAAAGGCTCTGGCGGTGAGCACGTGGGGACATTGCAGCATAGATGGGGGAGGCACAGCTTGGGTATACAGAAACATGTAGGGTACCTACCCACCAGGTCTCTTCTCTGTTTGCCTAAGCAGTGCCTAACCATCTACACAGTTATTTATAGCTGTACTAGGGGTGTGTGCAGTGAATGTACTCTACACACCACCGTAAGTGTAGATGTATCAATAGAGAGGTGTGAGCCAGAATCCCAAATTCAGACATCCCTGGATTCTGGTGATGTGGGCAGGGGAGGGAGTTGAAATCTGAACCTGTATCTGAACTGCAACTGGCACTCTTGTTTGGCCAGAAGGGATCACTGATCATCTCGGCTGACCTGGGGTATAGCACAGGGCCTAGGACTTTCCTGAAATGATTCCTGGTTGAACTAGAGCATCTATTTTTAGAAAAAGACACCCAATCTTGATTTGAAAATTGCCAGTCCTGGCGAATATCCCGCAGCCCTTGGTAAGTTGTTCCAGTGGTAAAGTGGAAGATTCAGCCCCATACATGCAGAGAACAGGGGTTTAGCGGTCCATTGCCTTTACCACTTAGCCACCTCATCTCAGAGGCTGGCAGCCTCAGAACAGTAGCCAAGAATGGAACAGGCACAGAAGTGGTGCATCCTGACAGGGTTGGGGCATGTTGGCAAGGGCTAACGTAGAATGTTTTCATTGCTGTTGCAAATAGCGTAGCTGAATTCGTTTCATTGCGAATAGCGTAGCTGAATTCGACGTATCGCAGCCGACTTACCCCGCTGTAAGGACGGTGGCAAAATCGACCTCCGCAGCTTCCCGTCGACGGCGCTTACTCCCACCTCCGCTGGTGGAGTAAGAGCGTCGATTCAGGGATCGATTGTCGCGTCCCGATGAGACGCGATAATTCGATCCCCGAGAGGTCGATTTCTACCCGCCGATTCAGGCGGGTAGTGTAGACCTAGCCTAACTCTCCGGGTAGCTTAGAGCAGCTCTGAGGGATACCCTAACTTGTGCCCTGTCTGCCATAGGCCTGGCTACAAGCTGGGACTAGACAAGGCATAGGGATGCTGCAGCCACACCTCCTCTCACTCATTTTTCTGGGAGCTCCACCAAAGGCAGTGGACAGTTAATAAAGCTGCTTCTGCACCTGGCAGGCAGGCCCCTTACCAGAATGGATAGTGGGGAGAAGACTCAGCTGGTCAGCTGCTTTGTGGCCAGTTTTTAGGCCAGAGAGCACTAGTGAATAAGGCCCTCACTGAACAAACTGAGCACTTCTCTCTCAAGTACTCTCCACCCAGCACTTTTCGTGGGCACTCGGGGCTGGTCTTCGGTCAAAATGTACCCCAAGAGAGCCAAAATTTGGGGTCCCAAAGCAAGTGGTGGTAATTATTCACCTACAATTCCAGTGGTGCATTAGCCACTGTCAGAAGACAGGATACTGGGCTAGATGGATCATTGGTCTGACCCAGTGTGGCCGTTCTTATGTTCTTCATACCCAGGTAAGTCTCGTCAATGTTATCATTCAGTAAAACAGAGTGGAGTGCCTAAAGCTGGGCTTGAGCTAGTGCAGAGAATGTAATGCGTACAGAGGCTGCACCAGCATATCCTGATTCCCACTCACACGTAGGCTAATTTGTGCTGTTCTGGCAGTGTAAGGTAGCCTTAAATGGGGTGGAAATGAGTCCCTGAGGATACTCTTCATGCAGAGGATCTCCACAGCCAATGTAGAGCTGGAGTAAGGGCTCTGGGTATGTCTGCATTGCAATATGAGGGTGTGATTGTAGCACAGATAGGCATTAGAAATCATGCCTCATAGTGATAGGCTCAAGTTGCTCAATATAATTTGCTTATAGAGGAGGTTAAGGGAGGGACTTGATCATATCTATAAGCAGCTACATGGGAAAAAATATTTGATAATAGGTTCTTCAATCTAGCAGAGAACGGTCTAACATAATCCAATGGCTGGAAGTTGAAGCTAGACAAATTCAGATTGGAACTACAGTATAATTTTTTAAACGTGAGATAATTTAACTGTTGGAACAATGTACCAACCAATGGTTGTGGTAGATTCTCCATCAGTAGCAATTTTTAAATCAAAACTGGATGATGTTTTTCTCAAAGCTCTGATCTAGGAATTATTTTGGGGCAGTTCTTTGGCCTGTGTTATATAGAAGGTCAGACTAGATGATCACAATGGTCCCTTCTGGCCATGGAATCTACAAATATCAGTGCTAGCTTTAAACTAGCTAACATGGGTAGCAATGGTAGTGAAGATATGGGGGCATAGATTAGCTGCCTGAGTACAAGCTGAGGTATATACTCATGTTGCTAGTACATGCTGAAGCCTGTGCCACCACATCGACGCTACTACTGTTGGGATTGAAAAGCACCATGGGCAAACTGCCCTGCACTGCTGCTATTTTTAGCTTGCTAACACCTTGTGGGCCATGGGAAGCAGAGCATAAGTTGGAGCAGCCCTGAGGCTGATCTAGATTACACAAGGGGTCAGACAGATCCCGGCTGCTCCAGAATACAGTGTGCAAAAAGGGCTTAAAACAGAGATTGACACACATTTCAGTGTCCAACTAATACTATTCTTAGATATGTTTCAGTACTGGAAGGAATTTATACATACTCAGGCACTGGCTCATAATTCTGTAATTCATCCTGCTGAGGAGGCCTGCACTAGCAGGTAACATTTTGGTACAATGCCAGCAGGACCCTGTGGAAACATACAGTAAAAATCAGCAACACACATGATGGGATCAATGCAATCACTGCAAGTGACCTGCAGTTCCATAGGAGAATGCGAAGGCTGCACATTTAGCATCAGGCACGGCCAGAGCTAAGGTCATACTTGTTCTAGGGTTGACCCAAGGAGAGGCTGTGGTAGGAGCTGTGTATAGCTTTCCTCTATTGAGGAGTGTCTTAACGCAACATAGGACATTCGGGGCTGTGAAGGATGTTGGAGAAAGGGGAGGAGAGGAATTGTGGAGCTCCTGGGGACCTGACGACCTTCTGGGGAAATTTTGTTTTGCAGCAGCAATAATTAGTAATTGTCCCCAAAGGTTACCAGTGGTCTGAGCACTGGATTAGAGGCCAGGAACCCCTGGGATATAATTCCAACTAAAACTGACCCCCCTCCCCGAGTTAAGTCACTGAGACAAAGATGAAATCAAGGGATAATTTCCCTACCTAACTCAGAACTGTTGTGAGAATCAGTAGTGTTGGTAAAACCTCCCACATCCTTCGTGCCATTCCTGTATCCGCCCCAGTCCCCTCCACAGGGATTCCTGTGTTGGAAAACACAAGAATTGCTCTCTCTTCTCCTACCACCCAAAAAGCAGAAATGACACCAAAAAGGATGGGGAGAAGCATGGCCATGGCCTTATTCCCCAGTGCACCTATCTGTGAGGCGGGATGGATGAACAGGGTGCTATGGAGTGGGGGCAGAGTGTATGTGGGTTCCCCTTCCACACTGAGAGCGTTTGTGTCCCAAAGCAGCAAAACTCCACACTTTCCCCTCCAGATGGGCCAGTGTAATAGTCCCAGACTCTAGCCCTACATATGTGCTAAGAATTATTAGAAACTTATATCCACATCCCTGCCCCAACACGAGAACTTCAGGCCTCCTCCCCAGTACTGAAATTCCATTTTTAAATGTTGTTTTTAGGGGCCCACTGCAGCCAAGGGAACAATTCCCATTCATGAACTTTGAATCAGGCACTTAGTAAATAGATGACTGTGTTTCCCCCATTACTTGAAGGAGAAATTCAGCTTGAAACTGGATTTAAGGCTGCAACAGGTGCATTTAGAAATTGTATTGATCTGCTCAACAAAATTTTAGTACTACAATAGATAGTCTTATGCAGAGAGATATACATGTGTCTGGCAGGTGGAGTCTAACCTGGAAATACCCTTTCGTTTATATGCCTGGCACCTGCTTTTTAATCCCCTGTGACCTTGAACTTCAGGTTTTAACTTCTTTAGTAATCATCTGTGATTATCTGAAACCTAAATCTGAAGCAATATAAACCACCTGCTGCTAGAATTTCTCCTCAGGGATTTATTTTTTGTTAATTCATCCTCATCATCATGGCAAATCCCAAAATGACATGGCCACCTTACAGACTGAGTGACACTTGGATTGATCTCCAGCGAGGTCTTTAAGCTGGTCTGGTTGGATAGTCAGTTTCTGTCAATCACTGGCAATCTTATCTTGCCACTGAAGGTCTCTAATCTAGAAGGCTGTTTTCAGATTTCCCCCATCCTTTTATCCTATCGACACCCCCTCCTCCTTTTGCTCCTCTCTCTATTACCAGCAATCACAACCCCTGTCCAGTAGGTTTTCCAGGAATACACCTGCTGGTGAAAGTCTTTCCTTCACTATAGTGAAGAAAGGCAGGCCCTGCACAAGAGAGAAGGAATTGCCAGAATTGGGAATTAAATGATCTTCTATGTTACAGTAAATGACAAGGCAGAAATGTCTATTCACTGATATTAGTAACTTACAGTGTCACACACAAAACCTCCTAACTTTGGGCCTCATTCAAAACCCATTGAAGTCAATGAAGAG